AATGTTAAAGAATAATTTGGAAATAAAACAGACGTAACTTTGAAATGGATAATGTCATAACTGTCTCAATGGAATAACTTGGCTACATCTGAATATTTGGCGAAACGATTATCAACTAAAGTTTTTAATGGCTGTTGAAAATACTTTTTGCCTTCATTATGTCTTCTTGAACTACCTGCATGTGCAGCTTTTTCAAGTATCGTTGTCATACAAACAGATTGTTGCTTGTTTAATTGAATTCCAAAATAATAACTAAACAGAAGAAGCAAGCACATGCCTTGTTAATGGCCTGGCACGTATGAAATTACTGCAATTTGTAAATCATTACTATGTGTCCTCTTCTAGTTGATCACAGAGAAAACTGTTCGACTCGAGAAGTATACATTAGAGTCAAGACTAGCTTAAATGTTGAAATAAGGCCAGTATCTATACGTGATGACTCTTTGTAGACTACTGTTCTGCAAGAATGGTACCGTAGTTAGGGAGCTACCATTTGATTTTTATTTGGGAGGCTAGGACGAAATTTTGAAAAAAAGAGGCAGGACAGGAGTTTTGAGTAAAAAAAAAGGCAGGATGAACAATTTGGCCAAAAAAAATGGATGACAATTTATGTAAAAAAGTCAGGATAAACTAATAAAAAAGGCAGGACGGCATAGAGTGAAAAATAAAAAGGCAGGACAGAGATTACAACTAAAAAAAATTTTTCATCCTAGCCACCCCCCCCCCCCCCCCCCCCCAAATACAATTATATGTCTCTGATTAAACCTGGGTCTATTATACTAACATAGTTAGTATAATAGTCCCAGATTAAACCCACAATTTTTTCACCGATCTACCGGACTAACATTGTATAATTCGAATAGATGTAATTCAATAAAGGCGGAGTTTTAGTTTGTAATCCTCTCTGCTGTCAATTTAAATGAATGGCGAAAAATGGGCAAAAATATATAGAAAATGGAGAATAATGGGTGCAAAGGTATAAAGAATAACAGTGGCAAAATAAAAGAATTCAATAAATGATAGAATACTAAGGGGACGACCATTTGATATTCTGGGGGGGCCAGGAGGATTTGTTGTGGATCGGTTATTTATTTTTGTAAACTAAGAGGACAGATTATCTATTTTCTGCACTATTGAAGCAAGATTTTTCATTTTCATTAAAGCAAGGGACTGATTATTTATTTTCACAACTATATTTATAATATTCGAAAACATACAATTTTTAAATTATTTGTTTATTATAAATAATTCATGTATAGTCAAGTCATTATGTACCATTTAATCAGAATTAATTATTATCCTCTGCAGAAATGAATCTTTTTATATCCCCCAATGCATATACATGTATTGCATACATACACAGTATTAAAGTTTGGTTGAAACTAAGGCTCTTCTAAAAGTATTGGCAAACGTGTTTTGCAGAGCGGAGCGAGGCAAAATTTTTTTTGAAGGGTTTTTGAACCGCTGAAGGCCCAAGAAGCTATAGAACAAATGATGCAAAATCATGCCTTCTGGGTGTTCCCCAGACCCTTTCTTAAACTGAAAATACAAGTTCTGTTTTAATAATTTTATGACAATATTTTGGTCTCAAAGCAAAATCACGTTATAGATTCAGTGTAAGACTTAAGTTTCTAGGAACAACATCAAAAGACAAATATGCATGATATTAAAAGCAAAAATGTAATTCACATAGTTAAGTCTGTGGCTGCTGTGTTTTTTTAAACTCATGATCAAGTTAATAATAAAATTACTAAATTACAAAATGAATGCAACACTAACAGAATACAGAAGGGCAATCAATGAACAAAAGACAAATAAATAAGAAATATTGATCCCGAAAAATCAGGGGCTACGTCTGAGGGAGAACAGAACTTGCTTCTTGCAAGGCACTCACGGTGAACACAATTTGATATGGAGACAAGCGTTTGGTTTTGAAATTTCCTACATGAGGCATTTGTCTCAATGTAGTTACGGCCCTGATTTAATAAAAGTGAGGTAAGTGTTCCTGAGACAATTAACCTCAAGTTAAATGAAACCAATTTTCTGACATTTCAAGTATATTTAAATAATATTTATACTTTTATTATTAAAAGATATGGGAAGTGTTTCCCGATTTTTTTTTTTTTTTGGAAAAAAGATTAATTTATGAAGAATCTGGTGCCATCTCATACTTTCGATTAGACCTGCTGAGTTATTTATTTTCAATACATTGCAAGTCAGGTCATTTATTTTCAAACTACCACAGAACAAACCATTTATTTTTGTGATTATCAAGGCTGAGTTATTTATTTTCAAAATCCTCCTGGCCCCCCCCCCCCAGAATATCAAATGGTCGTCCCCTAATTACAGAAATGATCGATGTACAGAATAAATAAATCATCTAATTACAGAATTGTTTTACAGAATAAGTATTATTTTTAAAGATAAAGAAAAATGTCCTTTAGATTAAAAGAATACATAAATGATTGTATTATATATGTCTCAGAAACAGTGGAATAATTTGGTCTAGTTTAAGTAAAGCTATAATGAGATTAATACCAGTCTATGTCAATTAACCGAGTGGTATATAACAGTTTTTTTTTAATTACACAACTAAATTTACAACTCTTGACCTCAATAGTAAGGGCTATATGTTTCCTATAGGTTAGAGGCATAATTTTTAACATTGATCGTTTTGATAACAGACAATAAAGTTATTCTGTTTGAGAAACAAATACAATGTTGCAGGATTGAATGTAACTAAAAAAGTGTACAAAAAATAGCGAGCTCCAAGGCAAATTCAAAAAGGAGAGTCCAGATAAACTAACAAAATCAATTTCAATTTGATTTGTCACTCAAAATCTCTCAATCAAGTTAAGCTGGTCCCTATTATTATATATTAGTCACAATTCAAAAACTTAATAAGCCAATGTTACTAAACAACGCATTTCAGTTTAGATTGAACATATAATATGCATGCAAGGATATGGACCTTTGGACATCAGATGAGGACCCAGGAATCTGAAAGGGGGTGTCTCAAATTAGGCAACGTTGGCAGTGGGACAAGTAAAAAGTATTTATCTTACTATACAAATCCTTGGTGATATTTTAAACTGTTTCTGATGAAAATGTTAATTGCACCAAGGTATTAAATGACTGGTGTGCTCTTTGCAATTCGTTTTTCAAATCTTCAGCATAAAGCACGAATTAGCATATCAATGATGCCTTTATCCCAGGAGGTTTGTCGAATAAATGTTAGATTATACTTGCAAATTGGAATAACCCATACCGGTGTTTATTATAACACCTCTGTGCTCTTAAGTTCTTTTATCTAGATTATATGTTTACGATCATCTTCAACTGATTTACTACTTTTTACAACGGTCATATCATGATATGCCAAAACAAACCAAATTTTGAAAGAGTGATTTTTTAAAAACTTTTTGCATTACCTTTGTGTAGTAAGAAACTCGTATACATGTCTGATTTCATCCCATCATATTTCCTACATTCATGACATATCAAGCTGAAAACAAAGATAAAAGCTTTTTTTTTTCATAAATTACTTTGCATGTGGTTGCATTGTTTATTTTTTGTGTATTTCATTTATTCATATATTTATTCATAATTAATATATCCCCCAATATACTCCTTTTGTATTGCACAGTTTTTATGAAAAGTACCAATAATTCAAAACAAAGTCCGACAAGTGGTGTCACATGTGGAGCATGGTCTGCATACCCTTCCGGAGCACCTAAGATCACGCTCAGTTTTTGGTGGGGTTCGTGTTGCTCAGTCTTTAGTTTTCTATGTTGTGTTTTGTGTACTATTGTTTGGCAATGTCTGTTTATCTTTTTTTTTTTTGCCATTGCGTTGGCAGTCAATTTATTTTCGACCGTTATTTGAGTTTGAATGTCCCTCTGATATCTTTCGCCTCTCTTCACTTCAATGACCAAGTTCGCGGATAAATGATGCAAGACAAGTTGAAGTAACTAGCGATCATTTGCCAGTTAGCGCCAGTGGCGGATCCAGAAATTTTAATAAGGGGGGCTCACTGACTGCCTAAGAGGGGGCCCGCTCCAGTCATGCTTCAGTGATTCCCTATATAATCAACCAAATTTTTCCCACAAAAGGGGGGGGGGCCGGGCCCCCTGAAAAACCCTCTAAATCCGCCTCTGAGCGCAACGCCGGGATGTTATTTAAAACTCATCGATCGCCGCCGAAACAAAGATGCATAATGTAATTTTCTTTGAAAGTCGCGGCTTCGTTTCCATTCCTTCCAAATATACAATATTAAATTATTGATTATAAAATACAATTTTCCTATTTTATAAGACTTCAAAAGAATAATATATTTTGTTCAAGGAAAACCAGAAATATTTTAATGCAGAGCTGAGACTACCATATGAACAGTATATCAATACTATACATGTTCCTGGACTACCATTCAAGATTTGTTATACATGTAGTATTCTCATTAAGAAGCAGAGACATATATCATGAGGCCACTCATGTAGGTGTCTGAGTCATTCAACCCCGGTCTCCCCTAATCACATAATCAATTGTTTTACCAATGTAATCACATAATTACTGAGGCCCCTCATGGGAGTGTCAAAATAATCGGCACATATTACAAATGTTTTGCCATTATAATCACTAAATCATTAATTATTGAAATAATCACTATAAAAACGGCCAAATAATCACATAATAAAAAACCCCATGAGGAGGCTCAATTATTATTTTTTTTTTTTAAAACAAGATAATCAAATAATAAAAAAAAAATACAGTCTTAGATTATCATAATCAAATTATGAAATATTTGGTCTAGTAATCAATATAAAAACGGACAAGTAATCACATAATCAAATACCCCGTCTAGTACGTTTGGGTACAGGGGCACTTTTATTTTGTAAGCATGCGTCACCGGAAGTAAACTGTTTTGTTTACCGAAAGTACTTTGAACCGTTGTTTCAATGTGTTTATAACCACAGATTTAACGTTTAACTAGTAAAGACAGTTATTACTAGTGACAAACATATATAAAACATGGAAAGCTTAACGCCGACACAGCTGAAAAAGTTAAAAGAGCACAAGTATAGTGCCACTGGAACGTCCTTAGTGGAACCGTACATGCAGGTCTTCTGGAAATGGTTAGTAGAACAAATTCCAACAACCTGGGCACCAAACACGTTGACAGTTGTTGGATTGATACTTAATATTGCCACATCTACGCTGTTGTTCTTGTACAGTCCAGATGGGAAATCGGAGGTAAGTAAAATCGAAGTTATTGCCGAAATTAAAAAGGGGCGGTTTCAAAATACTCGCATATATGTACTGACAAAATCATGGAAGTAGCGCAAGAGTTATTTAATTTTCCGTCAAAAGTTTTCCCCTGGCTTTATAATTTAACAATAGTTATAATATTTCATGTATTAGGAGTTGTAAATATTGCTGTAATTCATTGATTGTCTAGCCTGAAGAAGCCTTTGAGAACTGCCCCAAGTCATGTTGTCATCTGATATATGACTTCCGGTTTCACTTTCCTTTAGCATTATTTGTTGATATCTTAATTATTTTGCTAAATTTTATATGACATGTTATGATTTTTCTTAAAAAACACAAACATGAATCCAGATCTAGTTTAAAGTATATGTTCAAGACCGTATGAGTATTTGGACCGTACGCGTACGGTATGGGCCGTATGCATACATGTACTTTTTCAAAATACCCATATGGTCCAACCGTCGGACCGGTACGGTCTGCCTAATTTTAAGGAGTTAGTCAATTTTATCAGATACAACATAATTAAAATCTCTAATTAATATAAAAAAAGTAAAAACTAAATATTTTAACTATTTAAAAAAGTCACGTTAATTTAATCTCTTATTCTCCTGGGCCCTTATGCATAAAACCACTTAAGTTAAGATATCCAATCGTAAAACAAATTTATTGTAGGACATGTAGAAAAATCTGTTCGTTGGGAACAAATCTTAACTTAAGTAGCTTTATGCATATGGGCCATGTATTCATGGTATTTAAAATGTCAGTAATACATGAAATTGAATAATGCACTGTGAAATTGAAGTTATCGGAAGTAAACATAATGTTGGAAGAAAAGTTTTTAGAATATTTAGGAACTTTACTACAAAAATTCCTTACAAACATGACAAACTATCATGTGAATTTAGCATAATAAAATCTTGTTACGATATGGGTGATATAAAAATTTTGACACACAAAATTGGAACTTCACATTGAAAACAGAAGGATTTTCATAGCATCGTTTGCCGCAAGACAAGCAAGCTTGTCTCTTGCTAGCAAGAGATGCAAATACAAAGGAACATGCATAAACAAAACATGTAAATGTAAAAAATATGACGTTTCTTGTGGCAGCAAGAGTCACTCTGGCTGAGATTTACAAAAAATAGGATTCAGATAGACAATTAAATAAATATTTTATTTCAATTGATTGAAATACAACTTATTCACTTTATTCATCTACTTGCAAAAATATTAATTTGTAAAACTCAATAAAAGATTTTGATAAATGTTTGTCTTAAATTAACCCATATAGTTCAAATACATATATGGTCCAGCTAGTGTTAGACCATTATGAGTATGAGTATACTCAAACAGTCCGACCTTACTCGTACAGTCGGACCCTAGGAGTAAAAGCATATGGTCTGGACCCTACGCATCCAAATACTCATATGGTCTGGAACATATACATCAATCTCTGGTTTTTGGAAAGTTTGCTATAGCTTGCTATAGCAAAAACTTTCCTAAGTCATTGGCCTCAAACCGGAAGTGACAGACTATCTTACTTTAGGATGTGTGTTCTACTCCTAGATAATGTAGTACTGGTGTTTGACAATTAATTCTAGGAAGATGCTTTTGAAATTTTGAGGTACTTCTATTTTGATTAGCTTACAGTTTGAATTAAAATGTACTGAATGTTCATCGATAATTCAAATAATTCAACTTCATTTGAAAATGGCTATCACAAACACTACTTCGCGGATATGCGCTGTGCGGAAAGTAAAATTAATACACATCTACACGAGATAGCAGTTTCTACGTTATGCTTTTATCGGTATTCCCCAGACATGCGTGAGATCCATATCAACGGGAGTACTATAATCCCGGTTTCAGGGGTTTCCTCCCATCCTCCGGTTGAAGATAAAATAAATACCGTGTTTAAAATATTTCATAAATGAACATTTTTCAACGCTTACTACAATTTTCACAATGTTTATTAAAGACGTAAAATCCTGGGTGTATCGAAAGTATCCCGGTATCTCATCTCAGCCCACAACAAACTCGGCCTATTACATAATCGGCATCAGAAAATCGGACTATAACAAAATTCGTAATTATACTACTTGCTATTAAGTCTCCAAAACAAAGTTTGGAGACTTATTGTTTTGCTCAGTTCTTATTATTTTTCTTCTTGAGGTCTATTTAGGGGTAATTTGAGGGGCCAACAGAAGGCAGGGATTAACTATAGAACCCTATGGGATTTATTTTTTTTTTAAATTTTCAAATGACTATAACTTGAAAACAGTAAGTGATAGACACACACGGTTTTCAGTAATGATCACAGGATCATAAAACAAATCAAATGAAATATAGCGGGAGTCCCTCTGGATCAGCCCCACCCCCTCCTGTTTGAGAACTTGTAAACGGTTGAGATCCCCACCCCTAAACTATATATATATTCTTGTATGGGACAATAAAACAAATCAAATGAAATAAAAGATGAGTCCCCAGGGGTCACTCCAAACCCCTTCCTGTTTCAGAACTTGTAAACGTTCGAGATCCCCACTCCTAAACCATATATATTCTTGTATGGGACAATAAAACAAAGTCAAATGAAATATAGGGGGAGTCCCTGGTTGTCACCCCCACCCCATCCTGTTTTGAGAACTTTTAAACGGTCAAGATCCCCACCCCTAAACCATATATATTCTTATACAGGACAATAAAACAAATCAAATGAAATAAAAGGCGAGTCCCCTTGGGTCACTCCCACCCACTTCCTGTTTAAAAACTTGTAAACGGTCGAGATCACCATCATAAACCATATATATTCTTTTATGGGACAATAAAACAAATCAAATGAAATATAGAGGAAGTCCACAGGGGTCACCCCACCCCACTTCTTTTTGAAAACTTGTAAACAGATGATCCCCACCCCGTAACCATATATATTCTTGTATGGGACAATAAAACAAATCAAATGAAATAAAAGGCGAATCCCCTGGGGTCACTCCCACCCCCTTCCTGGGAATGACTAATTATGGGAGCTTTGTTTGGGAGACTTCGTAATAGCATCATGTTACAATTATTTCTTGTATTAAGTAACTTTTTTTTAAAGTCTGAAAAAAAAATTAAACACCCAATCTACACATTTACAACCTAGGCCTAAATTAATATACCGTTTGTTTCCCCAATCCCGACCCTGCCAAGCCAGGTGTGGGTAGGTAGGTAGGGAAATAAATTTATTTTTCCAAAAAGCTGGAACAATATTGGTTGATCCAGCAAGCCTGAAAATCAGAAATGAATAAAATAATATTTGACTTACTTTTGACAATAAAATTTGGCGAGTCAGACCATTTTTGCATGGTCGGTCGGGATTGGGGAAACAAACAATATTTTATTTTAGGCCCTATTTGAAATATTACACATCTACCGTTGCAAACTTTCCACACTTTGATTTTATGAATTAGTTATACTGGATGACCTCAGGTACATTGTGTAAACAATTGATTGTTGGTTGTTTAACGTCCAGTGGCAAATATTTCATGCATGTTAAGGATGAGCAATCTGTTCTTACTGTGACATAATAACACAAGCATTGTGACATAGGAAATTTATGGGAAAGTGCACGAACACGAAAGTTGTCCATACACAATGATACAATTTCACCATGAAAACATCCTTCAAGGTATTTTTTTTTTCTTTTTCCTTTTATGAATGATTAACCCAGTGGATATACACCTTATCCCTTTTTTTCCCACCATTGTTGAACATCACGCATGTTCCCTTTAAATTTTGACATCACAGGAGAAAATGTTTTGACCCCACTAAGAAAAACAGTTGTTGTCTGATGTGAATAGTTTAAGTGTTGCAAATTCTAGGGTCACTAGTGCCCCAGATTCCCAAATACTGATATACAATGTATGGTCTTTTGGTTTAATCAGGGAAAATTTGTCATACGACATTGTGACATGTAGATTTTTCAAATATCTTTAAATTTTGCATTGAGATTTCAAATTTCCAACTAAATGCAATAGGAAGATCTATGTACTGTACAGTTCATACTTAAAAACTGACAAAAAAAAAATTATTATTAAAAAATTAACAGCCATGACCATGATGACAGTTAATTCCTAACACAAAATCTCAACTATATATGTAGCACTCCCAAACATGTCCATCCCCCCAAACGTGTCCGATTCCCCCAAATGTGTCTATTTCACCGAAATGTGTCCTTCAAATCATAAATCGCCCAAACGTGTCTGATTTCACATCCCCAAACGTGTCCGATAATTGTTATTCGCCAAAACGTGTCCAGATGAATACGCTAGAAGGTCTTAAACCTCTTAGCGCCAATATTACTCTGTGAAGTCAAAAACGTTTACGGCAATTCAATGACGTGGGATACGATAACAGACTTAGAGTTGGATTCTTAAAAAATCGAAGTAGCTACCCTCAGAAATTTAGAGGAAATGTGTAGTAGTCTGTATAGACAAATGTCAAACATGTACACTGTGCACAGTAACTTCTGCTTTCAAATAAACAGACACCAGGTTAAAAAAATGGCACAATAAAAAGTTATTTTTACTTGCAGCGGTTTTATTAATTTTTTTATCCATATAATCATGATAATTATCAATGTTTTAAAGTTCAGATAGAGGTATTTCACAATTAAAACTTAATACATTTTATCTTGTAAGTTTTCCTGGTGCTTCACTGTTAATAAAGTGGTCATTTATTAGCATTAATTTGTTCAACGCCGGTTATTTATATTACGCATAATTGCAAGCTTAATTTGCAACACATACGTAACTATTGTCTGTTTATTGCTTAATGTCAAGTGGCAAATTATATATGACATGTGTATTTAGAAAAAGCATGAACATTGCAATATATTAGTTTTGTACAGTTTAAATCCTAGTTTTTCTTTTGTACTTATATTGTCCGATGATGCCTAAATGTATGAGGGTAATGCACGACCTGCTTCATGCAGAATTGGTTTCTGTGTTTTTAAGAGGGAGATCTTAGGGTTTCATATGAACTGGACACGTTTGGCCTTTTTAGCTCACTTGGCGTCTGTCCTTCTTTGTAGTCGCCGTCGTTAACTTTTTACATTTTGAACTTCTTCTAGAGAACCACTGAATGAAATGGAACCAAACATGGCATGAATGTTCCTTATGAGGTGCTGAACAAGTGTTGTTACTTTGTAGCCAATCCATCATCCAAGATGGGCACCAGCAGGGGACTTTGTTTAACATACAAAATGTAGGACCCTATGGACAATACATACAAATGTGTTCTTTTAGAAGCCACTGAATGGAATGAAACCAAACATGGTATGAATGTTCCTTATGAGGTGCTGACCAAGTGTTGTTATTTTGAAGCCGATCCATCATCTTTGATGGTCGCCAGCGGCAGACCTCATTTAACATAGGACCCTATGGACAATACATACAAATGTCTACTTTTAGAGAACGTCTATATGGAATGAGATCAAACATGGTATGAATGTTCCTCATGAGGTGTTGACCAAGTGTTGTTACTTTGAAGCCGATCCATTGTCCAAGATGGCCGCCAGAGGGGGACTTAGTTTAACATAGGACCCTATGGACAATACATACAAATGTCTTCTTTTAAAGAACCACTAAATGGAATGAAATAAAACATGGCACGAATGTTCCTTATGAGTTGCTGACAAAGTGTTGTAACTTTGTAGGTGATCAATCATCCAAGATGGCGCCAGTGGGGGACTTCTTTTAACATAGGACCCTATGGACAATACACATACAAATGTCTTCTTTAAGAGAACCACTAAATGGAATGAAATAAAACATGGCATGAATGTTCCTTATGAGGTGCTGACCAAGTGTTGTAACTTTGTTGGCGACCAATCATCCAAGATGGCTGCCAGCAGGGACTTAGTTTAACATAGGACCCTATGGGAAATACATTCAAATGTTTTCCTTTAGAGAACCACTGAATGGAATGAAACCAAACATGGCATGAATGTTCCTAATGAGGTGCTGGCCAAGTGTTGTTACTTTATAGCCTATCAATCATCCAAGATGGCTGCCAGCGGGGAACTTAGTTTAACAAAGGACTCTATGTGAAATACATACAAAAGTCTTCTTTTGAAGAACCACTGAATGGAATGAATGTTCCTAAAAAATATGAGGTGCTAACCAAGTGTTGTTACTTTGTTGCAAATCCTATCCATCAACCAAGATTGCTGCCAATGTGGGACTTAGTTTAACAAAGGACCCTATGGGAAATATTAACCCGAATAATTCAGTCCCTCCCCGTGATCGGATCTCCCACTCGCGAGGGCCTGAACTCTTTATACGATAAAAACGCGTCACGAATCCAGGATTTTGATTGGTGCTCTCTGTGAGCAATGAATTTATTGGTAATTTCTGTAAACTTTACAAAAGTCTTCTGCTTTTGATTAAATTACAGGGCCAATATTAAACCAAATTTGGCCTCAATCATTATTAGGGTATCTGTTATGATTTTAATCTATTTTTACATGATTGCCATAACCAAGGAAGAATCAGGTGAGCGACACAGGCTCTTGGGAGCCTCTAGTTTAATAAAATGGACACAATTGGGCGCTCATAAACAGAACACATTTTGGCGCCCTTTAGCAACTAGACATGTTTTGCAGTTCATTAACGTCATATTGACACGTTTGGGGGAATCGGACACGTTTGGGGGGATGGACACGTTTCTGAGTGTTACATATATTATATAGTTTATTTGAAACAAAAAAAGAGGTATATAGGTATATGCACTGAATGACAAAGTGGTTAATAAGAGTGTTATAAATATCACAGTCTGCACCAAAATCTTTTCCAGCTCCTAGTCAGAAGACCAAAATTCTAACATTTTTCTCATGTGTCTGAACAAAGTTTAGCAAATACTTGTTAGTCCGAATACAATTTCATATACTGGGGCATCAGACTAGTGGTTAACAGTGCAGACAATCAAATGGTGTCACATGTGGAGCAGCATCTGCTTATCCTTTGGAGCACTTGAGATCACCCTGGTGACCCCTGATCTTTGGTGAGGTTTGTGTTGCTGAGTCTTAAGTTGCTATCTGTGTGCATGTCTTGTGTACTGTTGTTTGTCTTTTGATTGCTCTTCTTGTTTTTTTAAATTGGTATTGTATGTGTTTCGATTGATGTATTTGAATATCCCTTTGGTATCTTGTGCCTCTCTTTTGTTTCAGAGTGATTGTATACAGTGTACTAAAAAGAATTAAATCTAATCACTTGTAAGAATAAAAGTGAAAGGGTGTACAATTTCCTATGTTGACAGCAACAACAAGACTAAAAAGTTTGTGATAAGATTACAAAGGCAAGCCATATTACTGTGTTTATTGACAGTTTTTAAATGAATGGTCTTGTGTGTACATGTAGTGTAAATTAATGTAGTTCAACAAAATATTTTACACCATTTTTTGTTTTTTCACAGGCTCCAAGGTTTGTTTACTTGCTTTGTGCAATTGGTTTATTTTTATACCAGTCCTTAGATGCTATTGACGGAAAGCAAGCAAGGAGAACAAACACAAGCTCACCTCTTGGTGAACTGTTTGATCATGGTTGTGACTCAGTTTCTACAGGTAAAAAATTATGACAATTGGTTTAGGTAATTTAAAAGTAACCCATATTTTCTTCATAGAGCTATCATAGCAATGCATTTTTGTTGACTTGTTCAAAAGATATATTTTTTACAAGTGTATATACATGATATATGACATGTATGACCTCCAAACAAAGTTGGAGAACATATAATATTACATTATTACATCTCTCCTTCAGTCAGTAACACATATTACATTATTCCATCTCTCCTTCAGTCAGTAACACAAATTACATTATTACATCTCTCCTTCAGTCAGTAACACAAATTACATTATTACATCTCTCCTTCAGTCAGTAACACATAATACATTATTACATCTCTCCTTCAGTCAGTAACACATATTACATTATTCCATCTCTCCTTCAGTCAGTAACACATATTACATTATTCCATCTCTCCTTCAGTCAGTAACACATATTTCATTATTCCATCTCTCCTTCAGTCAGTAACATATTTCATTATTCCATCTCTCCTTCAGTCAGTAACACATATTTCATTATTCCATCTCTCCTTCAGTCAGTAACACAAATTACATTATTCCATCTCTCCTTCAGTCAGTAACACATATTACATTTTTACATCTCTCCTTCAGTAAGTAACACACATTATCATATACTTGTATAAAATATTACTTAAATTTTACAGTTCAATAATATTTAAAAATATTAAAAGGCTTTGAAAGGATTACTATGTTTATTAACCAGATTCCTAAGAGTTTCCTGATAAACGAACCTTTATTGACTGCTTCCAAATGTTATCACATGCCTTTCCGTTAATGTCCATGATGTTTATCGCATGCAACTTCGTGAATTTCCAGAAATTTGTTTTCGAAAATGACAGACGACATGGCTGCGTTTGTCGAGTCTTTGAAAACAACAACACAGTGCGGAAAACCACAAGTGTTTTAATACTTTTCACAAAATGGTTGAGAACCAACAATGAATTAAGATTACACATGTTTTGAAAGACTTATCAAATTTTGAGTCCAACTCATGACAGGTTCCAGCCCCAACAACTTCAGGCATAACTATGCACATGTTTTCGGGGGAACCATCACAGGAAAGGTGACATTAAACTTTTCAAACTAAGAACATGATAATTGTTGTGATATGTCACAAGATAAATAAAATGCTTGTATTATCAATCAAAACAATTAAAGTTAAGAAATTTGTATTTGGCTGTCTGGAAATTATTATCTAAAGTTCAAAGAAAGACAAAATCTTAATAGTTCTTGTCTGTATTTCTTCTGCTGAATTATATGATAAAAAGATCATTACATGTCATTTTTCATATTAGACCCTTTATCGGAGAAAGAGATGTCCCTTTAAGAAAACATTTTCCTGTTTTCAATTTTATATTGAAGTAGTTGAATTGTTTACCTTATGTTTTCGTTTATTATAAAATTATAGAAATATTTATTTTGTATTCATATACTGAAAAATTGCACTTAAATAAATGGCAGTGACTTGTAGTTATCACTATGTCTGGTCTTCACTCTTTCCTATAGAACTAGTACATGTACAATAACTCATGTTTGCTTTGAACAATTTTAATTTATGAGAATTTTTAAAAACATGGTTCCTCAATGAAATAAACATAATAGTTATTGAAGAACTGGTCATTATCGTGTTACATGGACTGCCTGTAGGACAGTGGTATTGACTGCGACAGGGATAATGACCTCGCCTACGGCTCAGTCATTATCGCTGTCTTAGTCAGTACCACTGTCCTTTGGGCAGTCCATATATCATGATAATGACCAGTTTTTCAATAACTATTATGTAAATACATAATTGTTACAAAAACATTGGGGTTTGCATACTGTGGATTCATTTATTTTTTAGGGTACCAATTTTCATGGATTCAGGAAAACTTGCACTAATATGATTTTCATGAGGGTCTGGATTGAAGGGGGGAAGGGGGGTACTTTGTTTCTGTATTCTATAATTTTATGCCATTTTTGTCTATTCTTTATATTTTTTGCCCATTTTTGTCCATTTTTTTCTATTTTTTGCCCATTATTCTGTATTCTGTAAACCCACACCCTCTTTCATGAATATTTGATTTGGTGGTTTTACAAATGTCTGCATACTAGCTTATGGGAAATTTGTAATTTTGTTGAACATTTCATTTCATGGTTCACCTGTTTTCAAGAAATCTATGAGAATTGGTACCCCACGAATACTAGTGAATCCACAGAAATGCTTTAGACATATTTCTATCTTGTCAATTACAAATTATTTTGTCCCGTTTCTCTCTGATGCCATAAGTGTTCCTAACAACAACATAAACAAAAGTTACACAGGAAATGTTTATTTGTCAAAAAAAAAAAAAATCTGCTTTTTTAAAGGTCATTGCTCAATTGATATTTACAAGTCCATTTATGTAAACAAATCAATATAAATATGATAGCTGTGTAACAGATGTTGACCTTAAATTGAAATTTGTTCAAAATTGCTGAATGATGTTATCAGTAAATGTCATTATCATTGATTGTCATCAGTAACTAATGGATAAAATATGAAATGCCACAGGAAGGAAGGGAAGATCTTTTGATGTCCAACATTTTGAAATTTTCATAAAAGGGCTTATTATCCTCTGTGGGTCCCAGTGCAAAAACCTTGTTTGTTGTTTTCATTGTTAATATCTGACAAATTAAGATGAATTTATAAAAAGATTGTTTCCTAATTAAAAAGATCAAATGAAGAGCAACAATTAATTTTTAAAAATGATTATCATTATTGAATGAAAAAAACGGAAATACATGTAATTAGATAACTTAAAATGCAGATAGACAATCAACTGCATTGTATATATATTGATCTAGATGTTATCTTTGGTTGTCTGTAATTTTCCCTGTCTTTCCAGGCTGGATATAAAAATAAGAAGATGTGGTATTATAATACTTGCTAATGAGATACCTATCCACAAAAGTGAGAATTTCTAGCTTTTCCTAAGTCACATGCAGTGGAAAAAGACACAGAATTTCTCACATGAGTTGAACTTGAAGATACACAAATCTGTAAAAATAGAATAATGAAAGAAGTTATTTCTTCATAAAATCAGATATGTTAGAGTTCAATTGATTTTTAGTAAGAGCTGTTTTTCGCACTCAAAGCTCCACCTATTTAATGGTGAACATTTTAATAACAAAATATACATAGTCATGATAGTTTATGCATTGAACATGTAGAGGAAGAACTCTAATGAAAATCAATTGAGAAAAAAGCAGTTAACATGGTTAACTTTATTATTGGTGTTTTTCCTGACCCTGAGATTACTTATAATAACAGTATATATACTCAATTTACTATTTAGCAGTCCCAGTCGGACCCAAGAGCCTTATAGCATCATGGTAATGTGATGTTATATTGCATGAATGTGATGCTATCTGAAATGATTTTGTTATAGATTGTATTTTAGATGTGATGCTATAATTTCTAGAAACAAGATGGTATCTCAAAATTTCCTGTTTACCAGGATGCCATATAAAATGTGTGGGGAGAACACTGCTATGATTAATAATTGTGAAATAAACAAGAAAAACATAATATACAAAGTCAATAGAAATAAAACTAAACTAAACAATGCTGTATTATTATTAAAGAACACTTGATTCAATTTCATAAAGCAAGCTTTATAAGTATTTTAATCTTCTGATAAAGAAATCAGGGTTGCAGGAAAGTCAATTAAAGCTAAATGAAGTTTAAAATTTAAGTCTCAATTAATTGAAACATGAACAAATTCAACAAATTTAATTGACTCTTAAAATTTAAATATGGATAAACTTAAATTAAGGTTTGTGCAACCTGAACCACCCGTTGAACCTTTTGATACATGTATAATATATAGTAAAAAGGACAAGATGAAAGTTTATTGCTTGTCAAAATATATTACATTAAGAAGTACATATTTAATGTAATATTTTTGTCCTTTGATGTACATAGTTTTAAGTGGACACGAGGATGTACGTAAGACAGGAAGGGATTTCTTACAAATTTAATTATTTATGTGTAATTGTCATAAGACTTGTGTACAAGATAAATATATAAGAGCCTAAGGCTATGATAAAAATATTCCTGGTTTCACTTCCAACATTTGTACAGATGTTTAGGGATGTCAAATAATCTTATGTGATGATCTTGAAATGACCTATTTTCAGTTTCAAAATAGACATAATTTATTCACCTTTAAATTGCAAATATTAAAATTAAACATAAACAATTTGGTGTTTTGTTTGATACCTGGAACTGATATTAAGGTAAAAATAGCATTTTGGCCCGCTGCATTTGTTTGCACCTGTCCTGGGTCAGGAACCTGTTTCTGTTGTTGTCATTTGTTGATGTTGTTCTTGGGTGTTTCTCGTTTCTCGTATTTTGTGTGGATTGGATCGTTGATTTTCCTGTTTGAATGCTTTTACACTAGTCATTTTGGGGCCCTTTATAGCTTGCTGTTCGATGTGAGCCAAGGCTCTGTGTTGATGGCCGTACTTTGACCTTTAATTGTTTACATTTTACACATTGTGATTTGGATGGAGAGTTGTCTCACTGGCACTCATACCACATCTTCTAATTTATATTGGTTAGTTCTTAGCTGCTAGGTTCATTTTACTGTTTCTCTTATTATTACATGATTTATCCTTTGCCTGACCTGTTGTTTATTTTTGTTTAATCAACATGTGGTTCGTTTGATCTCAGTTCTTCATTTGTCAAAATTTGATTATGATGTCAAACTTTCTTGCTTTCCTCTGAAATTCCTATTGTCACATCATAAAAAAGGCGACCATGTTTGATGAAGATATATATCTTTTTGCAGATCATTGAAAAAGATGGATTAAGATTGTCTGTATATATATATTGTCTAGAAATCATTAGAGAAACAGATTCCAAGCATGAGTCAAAAAGTTCAAAAATCTCCCCCTTTTTCCCAGACCACTGGTAAACCATATGAAGTTAAAAATCATGATAGTATTGGACTGTTGTGACCCTATTATTCTAGTTTTTCTTTTTCTTTTTCAGTCTTTGTAGGCTTGGCAACTGTAGTGGCATTAAACATGGGAAAAGATTTAGACTGGATGATGTATGAGTTATTTGCAGCTATATTTTTATTTTATATGGCCCACTGGCAGACATATGTAACAGGAACACTTAGATTTGGACAGTAAGTATGGGTTACTTGTGTTTTTATTTTATATGGCCCACTGGCAGACATATGTAACAGGAACGCCTAGATTTGGACAGTAAGTATGGGTATACTTGTATTTTTATTTTATATGGCCCTATGGCAGACATATGTAACAGGAACGCTTAGATTTGGACAGTAGGTACGGGTATACTTGTATTTTTATTTTATATGGCCCACTGGCAGACGTATACATGTAACAGGAACACTTAGATTTGGACAGTAAGTAAGAGCATAATGGTATTTTTATTTCATCAACTTAAAATATCCATATTTTATCTTTTCTTTATTTTTACTGCTTGTGTCTTTTATTTTGTTTTGTAATAATCTTAGGTAAAAAGCATTTCACAAACATTATGTTCCAAATGGTCAATCATCAAAGGTTCCGACAATCAATAAGTTTTACATGGTATTTTGAAAGATAAGGGTTGGCAAAAACCCGGGTTTTATGAGTATTGCCCAGCCCAGTGGGAAATACTGGGAAAACCCGGGTTTTACTGGGTTTTAGCGGGTAATACTGGGCAATACTGGGTAATATGAAATACTGGCCTGAATTTAAAAAAAAAAAAAATACATGAAAGATTTTTATAAAAATAAGATATACTAGTATTTTAACTTATAAGTTCACTTGTTTGAGACTATATGAAGTTTATAAATCTGAGAAAATATTAATGGTCCAGCAACTCTTAAGACAAGTGTATATGCATGAAGATACTTAAGACAAATATGAAAAGCTTTTCTTAATAATCCTCCTAAAAATCTATCTAATTGCCATTCTGTCTAGATTGGTCAAGGTGTCGACTTAAAGTCGAAGAATTCAATTTGTTTTTTTTAATAAATATAACTAATATTTTGTACACTTAATGTGTCTGAGGTTAAATAAAGAATTTAAATTGAATTGAAAGAATTAATAATTCTATGTAATGAAAATTACTTATAAACATTTTTTGTTCATTACTAAAATAGTTTACTAAGTTTTAGCATATGTTTATGTACATCTCTCTGAAATTGTACTGCAAGGTACCATACCACAAAGGGAAGGCTGGGATTGACTTTGGGGGTGATGAATCAGAAGGGTTTTCAAAAAATTGGGGGGGGGGATTTTTTTCCCCCCTTTTTTTCTTTTTTTTTCTTTAAAATTTTCCATTTCAAATTGGTTATTTCTGATTTATATATAAAAGCAAATAATAATGATATGGTTTGAATAGGTAAATTAAAATTTTTTAAGTTCTTAGACCACATTCATTCTGTGTCAGAAACCTATGCTGTGTCAAATATTTAATCACAATCCAAATTCAGAGCTGTATCAAGCTTGAATGTTGTGTCCATACTTGCCCCAACTGTTCAGGGTTGACCTCTGCGGTTGTATCAAGCTGCGCCCAGGGGAGCATTTCATTACACATTGTAATTTGGATGGAGAGTTGTCTCATTGTTTTTTTTAAGAAATATAACTAATATTTTGTACACTTAATGTGTCTGAGGTTAAATAAAGAATTTAAATTGAATTGAAAGAATTAATAATTCTATGTAATGAAAATTACTTATAAACATTTTTTGTTCATTACTAAAATTGTTTACTAAGTTTTAGCATATGTTTATGTACGTCACTAATTAATAAGTAATTATTCAGATTATAACACAGATTTGTTTATATAACAACAATCAGCATTTTGATTTCTATAAGTGTTCATGGCCTGTCCCCTTTGGGTGTTTATTTAGCAATATGATTGTATATAAATTAAAATTTACAATTCACTTAAACACTGCAATGAAATGCATTTTTTCGACTCGAATTTAATATTGAAACAAAGCTTAGAAATTAACAAGGTATCCTGAAATGTCCAAAACTTGTATTCTGCCTACATAGAATTGGTTGAGAAAATGAGAAAATGACTCTCAATGGTTATCTGTATAAAATGTATGTATTTAGCTATAATACTATTAAACTACAACAAGTCTTTACTATTTTGTGTAAAAATAAGCTTGAAAAATCATATTAATAAAATTGAGAATGGAAATGGGGAATGTGTCAAAGAGACAACAACCCGACCACAGAACAGACAACAGCAGAAGGCCACCAACAGGTCTTCAATGCAGCGAGAAATTCCCGCACCCGGAGGCGTCCTTCAGCTGGCCCCTAAACAAATATATATACTAGTTCAGTGATAATGAACGCCATACTAAACTCCAAATTGTACACAAGAAACTAAAATTAAAAATAATACAAGACTAACAAAGGCTAGAGGCTCCTGACTTGGGACAGGCGCAAAAATGCGGCGGGGTTAAACATGTTTATGAGATCTCAACCCTCCCCCTATACCTCTAGCCAATGTAGAAAAGTAAACGCATAACAATACGCACATTAAAATTCAGTTCAAGAGAAGTCCGAGTCTGATGTCAGAAGATGTAACCAAAGAAAATAAACAAAATGACAATAATACATAAATAACAACAGACTACTAGCAGTTTACCCTGTATTGCCCAGTATTACTCGTTTCTAGGGAAAAAACAAAAAGACTAAAAGACGAACAACAGTATACAAAACATAACATGGGAAACTAAAGACTGTTATACAAACACAATGATTGACCTGGCATTAATTAAGGAAACTCATTTCCATCGACAATAAAACCACACCTTTATTTCTGAATTAGTGTTTTATCTTAAATAGTTTCCTTTTTCTTCTGAATTTTCTTGCAATTGCGAACTTCTGGTTTAATTTATGATCCTTTTTCTTCTAGGGGACTTGAAATATACTTGATATAACTAAGATTTCAATTCAACCGATTTCGACTTAAGTTACTCAGAGTTTCAAATACACAGTGTTCATTGAACATTGAGAATTTTACACGGCCTGACAAAAATTACCTTAACTTATCCAAGTTTTCGACATGTTGAGGTTCGACTGTTTACATATATATCGTATGTTTAAACCCTGCTCGTGGCAAGGTGTTTGGACTCAGATTTTTATTAGCAAATATTGGCAGTTTTCCTGCTGAAGATTGGTGGTTCTCACAGATATTGCTTGATAGTGTGTTCTTCCTTAATTTTATAGGATACTAACTGTCAATTATTGTGTTCTGGATACTTAAAATTCTATTTTACAGTTGTTTCTTATATCATATTCTTTATATCCAGTCTGTACCAAATCTTTTTCAACTATTAGTTCTGAAGACCAATATTCTGTCATTTTCTTTGTTTTCAAACAAAATTTTGTGAATACTTACTAGTCCAAATAAAATTTTACTAGTCTGAAGCATCGGACTAGTGGCTAATAGTGCAGACTGCAATATCATTTATTTTGTTGACTTATTTCTTAATATGTTTCTCTATTTCCTATTATTACATATTATATGAAATGTTTTTTTTTATTGTCAGATTTGATGTTACAGAATCCCAGTTAATGATAATAGGTGTTTATTTAACAAATTTTTTATTTGGGTCTACACTGTGGGATTTAACGGTAAGTTTGCATATATATATATAGGTAAATGTTAGTGTTGTGAAAAGCAAGAAATTGTAATGTAGTGTAAATGATTATCTGTGTATTTACATCTGGAGAAAATAAAGACAACAGAAGACAAAACTATCATCAAATACACATCAAATAAATTTCAAACATTATGTAAAAATCCTAACATACCGGTAAATATTTTTTTGAAAAAAATTGCTTTTTATAAAATATTAAGGGAAAAACAATTTCAGTGACAAAATAACATTTGTACTTATGTTAATGCACTGTATCTTTAATCACATTTAAACCACAAGGTGTGGTTAAAATATACATAGAGGAAAAACCATCAATAAACCTATATCTGCAAGTTTATCTGCAAAAAAGAGATGGAAGATACCAAATGAAAATTCAAACTCATGGAGAAAACCAAAAAAAATGGACAAAAGACAAACAGTCTACAAAACATAACATAATAGAGCAAAGAACAACGAATCCCTTGAAAAACCATGGGTGATCCCAAAGGGTAAGCAGATCCTGCTCCACATGTGGTACCCTTTGTGTTGCTCATGTAAGTACAAATTCAGTTGTAGGTCTAAACATGCTAAATCAGTGATTTCACAATCAAGAAAATGTGGTTTAGACATTTGACAAATTTCTTTTGTCATCTGTGAACAGGCTTTTTAATCATTTTTGTGGCTGATGTTTGCTTAAACACACTTTTGCTTATGTAAATTCTACTTACACAAGATAATGAAAACTGTTAGGTTTAATGCTTTTTTCTGTATTTTTCAGTTTCCCATTATAGGAATGACATTGAGAAAAGCAGTTATTTTATTAAGTATATTGCCACAGATTTTACAGTTTGGATCAAATTTTTCCGTCATTATGCAGGGAGGAAGTGGTAAAAATAAATCTACAATAGCTGTAAGTAAAAGTTAAGGGTTGTTCCATTAAGACATACGCTGCACACAGGAAAGGCGCTTTAAAAATGGTGAAACCACCTGTAGAATAAGTTTGAGAATTTCGCTTACAATTTTATTATACCAACAAATATTTGACACCCACCCATAATTGAAATTTTGAAGTGTTTCCCCTGTAACCCATGTATGTTTTAACAGTTCTTTATTGACATTGATAATATATTTTTAGAAAACATTATGAATCAAAGAAGATGTGGGGTCTACATCAATGAAACTGCAACCCAATGACACAAAATACTAAAGATAATTCAACATCATTTAGTACAGCGTACATTTTACAATCATGATTTGCTGCACTATCATGATTTACTAAACATATGTCTGATTCCTTCTTTGTCATGGTCTTTGCAGATTTCCGCAGATAAATATCCAAAACAGAATAATTATACAATTCATTTTCTTTTCAGGGTACAAGTACTATATTTCCAGTACTACCTATAGTGTTAGTCCTAGCACTAGGTATAATAATATCACAGAAGTCAGAGACACTAATATATGAAAATCATCCATGTTTCTTTCTTCTTTGTTTTGGATTAGTGGCTGCTAAAATAACAAACAAATTAGTGGTAGGTGTATAGATTTATCATACTTTTCTTTGCACATATGACTTGCTCAGTTGCTCTGTCATTTTTAATCACAATTTTTGTCTCGCCTTGACGGAGTCAAAAAGCGAGACATAGGTATGCTGTTTCTGGCGGCGGCGACGGCGGCGTCAACAATGTATTAGTTTGTGATTAGGTCTAGTTCATGGTGAACCACTAGTGGTAGGTCAATGATATTTGGTATGCAGTTGTATTAGTATTGGCACATCTCATTATCATGGAGATTATTTGGCCCCACTCCCTCAGTCAAGATCTATTGACTTTGAAACTTTTCATAGTTTACATGTATTAGTTTGTGATTAGGTCAATTTATGGGGAACCACTAGTGGTAGGTCAGTGATATTTGGTATGCAGTTGTATAAGCATTGGCATATCTCTTTTCCATGGAGATTATTTGACTCTGCCCCCTACTATTACACCTCTAATTTCAAAAAATTATACTCCAATAGAAAACGTCTAATGAAACTCCAATAATTTCAAATCGTGTGTGATGGTTTGCGGTATTTTCATGGAAAAACCTGTTTTCCATCATCAAATAGAAGTTGAAAATGCTTGCAAATGATTCTAGAACACTTCACGTGTGTTTAAGTCAAAATCACAAAAAAAAATAATTTAGAAACTTGTGTATGTTTAAACCGAAAGTTCGAATAGCACGTGTAAATGAAAATAAATACGGTTAGAGTGTACTGAAAATCCATACTTAATAGATATCACTAGAATATGACTTTGAAAGTAAAACAGTTCCATCCTTGAGTACAATAATATTTAACATATCTATCACATTAATGCTTGAAGGATCTTATGCCGAAACAAAACACATGCGTCAGTATGAAACACCAAAACAGAACGAATAACCGATTACGTTTTGTAGTTTATTCATCGTTATGCATAAGCTGGTTCCCGATGGACTAATACACTTTTTTTCGTTCCGCTAAATTCAAGCAGATTCCAGTTTATTTTAAGCAATGCAGTGGAAAGAAAAAAGAAATTTGTAGTGAAGCATTTAATTTTGAAATTTAACAGTAAATATTTGATATTGAATAAAAATTACATATTAATATGGATTAGGTGAAATTATTAGTTTTGAAAATAATAAGAGCGCCCTCAACAATTTCAATAACAAACATGGTGGAACATAAACAAACCTTGCGAAATCAAATTTTTTCTCTTATTTCTTGCTTATCCTACTCTATAGTCTGCACCCCTGTCTGGCATGTTCAATTTTTGAGAATAAAACCGCGGACTATACAAGCCTGAATTTGGTATAAACTAAATTTAATTCTTTAACTAATTAACCAAAATTAATAGTTGTATTGAGGTGGAAGAAAACAGACTTGTTAAATAGGGTACTATAGTGTACTATAGATATAAAACAACTACTTGAAAAATCCAGGTTCTCCTGATAGAGGGGATTTACAGAAGGTAACAGGTATCCGAAAACTACATGTGACATATACTATTGGTATAGGTATTGGATTCGACCCGGTGTCATATGGTAACCCCTTACTTTACACCTCCAATTTCAAAAATTATAGCTATTCTAACTCCTTTTACATAGTAATAAAACTCCAATAAGTAGTTGGTATGTATTAAGCCTGCTTTTACTTAGCCATGGTTTATTGAACCCCCTACTATATACACCTCTAATTTCAAAACAAATATAGCAATTTTAACTCCTTTACATAGTAATAATACTCCAATTTATATAAAAATCATAGCCAACATATTGTACATTAGATAATCTGCAATACTTTTTATCTAAAACAGGGGGGTTCAATTTTCCATGGTGAGGTTCAATTACCATATGGGAAAAATGACTCTGGGGTCAAAATACCATGCGGTATAATGACCCTGCGGTGAATTTTCCATATGGTATTTTGACCCCAGGTTCACTTTTCATTGGGTTCAAAATACCATATGACACTGGAACTTGTAAATTATTGGTAATATTAATTATGTGGATAACAAAAGGGCCATGAATGATGTAATTTTCAAACACCATTGTCCTATATTAGTTATATATAAAGTTGAATTCTGTGATTCGTTGTTTTTACGTCATGCCGGCTAACAAATTGGAACTCATTATTTTAGTAGTATAGATATATAACTTACAGGACCACTTAAATAGTAAACTTTTGAAAGAACATAGTCGCGAGAACAATCAGGAAGAACTACCCCATATATAACTTGGGAACTATATACCTAGACCATGATCAAAGGGAGTTAATTGTGGTTTGAAGCCTGCACCAATGTGAGAGCAGAACTTATCATACTCTAAGCTTAAAAAATGGCAATTTGGGAAGAAAAACGATAAGATTAATATGTTAAACAGTTTATCATTTTTTTTGTCAAATTTTATTGTTAAATATCTGTCACTTTACTTTACACTATGTAATTGTGTAATTAAAGTACAAACAAATTTTCCGAGTTTAAGATTGAGTAATTATAAACTTCTTTTGCAGGTAGCACAAATGACAAAAAGTGAAATGGATTTATTTGACTCGTCATTACTGGGCCCAGGAATGTTATTTCTTAATCAATATTTCAACTGCATATTAAATGAATATTTGGTTTTATGGCTTATGTTTGTGAGTATTAATATTTTACTGTTTAAAATTTTTACAAACAAATTTTTTATATTCAACTGTTTATTTCAACTACATATTGAAAAGATTTTACGAATAAATATGAAACATATGAAACTCAAACAAAATATTTAAGAATTAATTTCTATTCACATGGGTTTATGCATATGGACCTATGATGGATAAAATGAGAGTGTGGTATTAGTCAATGAAACAATAACCCATGGACAAATATATACTGTAAATCCAGAAATTATTGCGAGGTTTTTATTAATGTGTATAATGCGACTTGGAGAACATCGCAATAATAAGAACTTTCATTCTGATAACTGTATGGAGATTTTCCTGAAATTGCAATAACAAATCTCACCTTTTTGTCTATTCTTCAAAAATTATAATTATAAATACACGCAATAGTTTTTGAATTTATAGATTAAAAATGTCTAGATGATTAGTCTTCAAATCTGCCAACTTCTCAAAATGTTGTGGATTTTAGGTGCAAGAGGACTACTACATTTTTTATACGTGTCAGAAGTGTTTTTGTCTCGCCTGAGACGAAAGTCGCAGTATGCGAGACAGGTATTACTATTCGGCGGCAGCGGCATAAACTATTTGTATAAAGCTTTATATTTCAGATGGTAGAAGACCTGGATGCTTCATATCTTGTATGCAGATACCTTATGTTATGAAATTTCCGTTAGCATATGTCCATTGTCCTCGACCTCATTTTCATGGTTCAGCGACTGCTTGAAAAAAAATTTGAGTTTTTTCGTCATGTGAATTTCTCACTTATTATGAGTAATAGGATAACTATATTTGGTATATGGGTTCCTTGCAACGTCAACATGTCCTTCAGATAGAGTTCACATGACCTCGACATCATACCATGGACCTGTGATCAAGGTTAAAGTTACAGGATTAGGTTCGTTTCTCAAAACTATAAGCAGTAGGTCAACTATATTAGGTGTATGGAATGCTTGTAATGGGTACATGTCAGTCTGGCAGGTTTCATCCAACCTTGACCTCATTTTCATGGTTCATTGGTCAATGTTAAGTTTTTGTTTTTTGGTCTGTTTGTCAAGTACTATAAGCAATTAATAGGTCAACTATATTTGGTGTATGGAATGATTGTAAGATGTACAAGTCTGTCTGGCAGGTATCTACTGACCTTGACCTCATTTTCATGGTTCATGGTTCATTTGTCAATGTTAAGTGTTTGTGTTTTTGTCTGTTTTTCAAGTACTACAAATCTTATAGCAATAGGTCAACTATATTTGGTGTATGGAATAATTGTAAGGTGCACATGGCTGTCTGGCAGGTATAATCTGACCTTGACCTTATTTTCATGGTTCATAGGTCAATGTTAAGTTTTTGTGTCTTGGTCTGTTTTTCATAAGCATACGCAATAGGTCAACTATATTTGGTGTATAAAAAAATTGTAAGGTGTATATGTCTGTCTGACATAATTTATCTGACCACGACCTCATTGTCATATATTTTTTTAAATGTTAAGTTTCTGTAATGCTTTTAATAAAACCTTTATCTTTAAGACTTTCAACATAAAATCAATGGTCAGTAAAGCAGGAGAGATATTTCAGTGTGTGCACTTTTGTTAATTTTATATACTTAGGTTTAGAATGAGAATATGTATGTATTTAGATAGTTGGATCAAAATGTTTCTGTTCAAGGCGTAGAAACTGGTAGAATGAGAGGCCTTATTGAGCATTTCTATCCTGTTTGGAGCATTTAGGGACAGTTTTCCCTAGCTTTTATTTTCACACTGAAAAATTATTAGGCAAATGTAATGATTTTTGATAGATTTAAAAAATTTGAAAGTTTTCCACCTTTATTAACCTTCTTTACCTGATGAAAACTTGCAGTGAGGGCTATTCCAGAAAACACTCAGTCACACTTGAGTGGTGCTGGTCAAGTTTTATGGTTAGTTTAGAAAGGGAAGAATTTAGCCATGATTCCTTTCTGAGATAGGACATCATATATAACAAGATAAATGTTTTATTTTCTGTTATTATTTAGATATATATACATGTATAGATAATAATACATGTGAGAAAATATCAATACACTCTAATAAAAATATGTCTTTTTTTTGTTAGAATTATAGTAGGGCACATACACATTTATCTGTAAAGAAAAAATGATGTTTGAAATTTTTTTTTACATCAATCACAAAATTTTTCTGTTTTCAGATATATGTAACACAAGATTTATTAAGATACTCATCTTCAGTTTGCCAACAGATTTGTCAATACTTGGGAATTTACTGTTTTGACATCACATCATCTCCAAAGAATGGAAAAGCATCATGAATTGTACCCGCTGCTTATTGCTCAACATTTTGTCTGTCATATATTATTTATTTTAAGAAATGTTTTATTGGTATGAATGCTTGATCCACATTGTTTAGGAAATCAGCAATTTTTTACATTCTTCCAAATTTAAAGTTTTTTGTGTTATTTGGTTATACCTGTACGTTATTTTAAGAGTCCACAAAAATTGATAACTTTTGGCAAAGAGTTGGTAAAGCATATAATTTTTGTCTCTCCTGCAACAAAAGTTGCAGAATAAGAGATGTAGGGATGCTAATCCAGCTGCAATTGCTATGATCGTCTTGACCTCATTTTCATGGTCCCATGACTGCTTAAGAAACTATTGATGTTATTTTTTGAATTAGAACTGCAGTTTTTATAACATATTTTTCGGTAATTATTAGTATGAGATTACTTTTATTTGGTATATAGAATCATTGCTAGATGTACTTGTCCCTCTGATGGGGTTATACTGAACTTGCCCTCATTTCACAATTCAATGCTTATTGTTAAGTGTGCGATAAGGATAATTTCTCAGAAAGTACCACTGTATAAGTAACAGGTCTTCATGTTAGTCTGACAGGGATCATCTGACTTTGACCTCTTTTCAAGGTTTATAAGTCATTTACTATAAGTACAAGGTAAACTATATTTGGTGTATAAAATGGTTGTAACTTGTTATTTTTTTCTGACAGGGTTCATCTTACCTTGACATCGTTCAGATACTATTATAACAATAGGTCAATTATATTAGTTGTATTAAATGATTGAAAGGTGTACATGTTGATCAGACTGTGTTCATCTTTTCTTGACCTCATTTTCATGGATCATTGATCAATTTTAAATTTTCGTAATGAGGTCTGGTTTAAGAGCGCTATAAGAAATAGGTAAGATTTTCTGTGTATAGAATGTTTGTAAGGTGTACATGTCTGTTTGACATGGTTTACTGAGCCTGACCTCATTTTCACAGTTGGTTGGTGTTAAGTTTTTGTGATTATGTCCATTTCTTAGATACTATAATTAATAGGTCAACTATATTTGGTGTATAGAATGATTGTAAGGTGAACATTTCTGTCAGATAGGGTTTTTGTGATATTTTCTTAGATAATTGATAATGTTAAGGTTATGTGATACCTGCAGTCAAATCATGAGCTAAAAGACTTTCAACCTAAAATTTAATATTACCACTAAAAAAGGCGAGGCATTTGTGTGCACTCTGGTTGAAAATCTGTCCTCCCAATTTGTACTTCATCATTTAAGTAATGTTTTTTTAGTTTCTAAAATACAGATGCTTTACAAGATTAATATATTGCCTAATATCGCCCTATCCAACAGCATTAATTTGTGTATACAGTTAGTAAATTCTGCATACCCTCATCCTTTAAATTAGAATAAGGAGAAGTTGTATGATTGCCAATTAGACAACTATCTGTCAGAAAGGAAATAGACCAAAAGTCTGTTTATCCTTATTTTTTGCAAGCACTTGCAAAAGAATATTATTAAAGAGTCATACTTAAACACAAACAGACACATCTCTTCTCTATGTGTTTGTGCTGAGCATATCTGTAGAAAAATTCAAAACATGGGTAAAAGACGGTGTGATCATGACATTATTCATGAATAATTAGCTGTGTTTTTTAGGAATTCATTACCCAAAACATTTTTGAATGAATTCAGAGAAATTTAATTGCAGAGATATTTTTATACATATTTATTATAAACAAGATATTGCTATTTATTTACACATGGACAATTGTAAATTATGCTATTTTTGTTTATTTCCTTGATGAAAGTATGGCTTCATATGAAAATTCACTTCACTTCATTATTTTGTAGATTTTTTTAATGTCAAAGACCTACCGGTATGCTTTTTTACTTAAGTTGAAAAAGTTTTCTGAAATACTTTCACGTATTCAGTCTATTTTAAGTTTGCATTATATGTAAACACCAGATTTTACTATTTTGTGGTTATTGTTTTAAAGCAAAAGTATTTTAATCCAAGTTTGAAAACAGTTACCTAGAAAAATGTATATCTTGCAAAAACAATGTTGGTTACAGTATAAAATAGTTCATTCAAAGAATATTTGAAAAAAATAACATGTGTTGTAAATTGCAGAATATTAACATTTAAACTGTATTTTATAGTTAAATCATTGCAAAATTATTACAAAAGTAATATTATAATTGAAATAAGTGGATATTTAAAAACAACATAATTTTGAAACAACAATTTCAAAGATATCTTTCTTTCTTTTTGATAAAATCAAAATATATTGCTCCGTGGTCATTAATTTCCTTTTCATTTCAAAATTGCTAAGCTTGAGCCAGGCTTGTTTTGCTTTAAATTATTGCTACATGTTTTAATTGGTTTGCCATTTATGCTTTTCCTTTTTCATTCAAAACTGCTAAGCTTCAGCCAGGTTTTTATGCTTTAACTTATTGCTACATGCTTTAATTAGTTTGCCATTTATGTTTTTCTTGCAAAGTGCTTTACAGTTGTATATAATAATCAATTGCCATTCTTTATGCAGTCAATAAAATTTTAGAATAACAATGTGCCATAATTTTGATGTTTGTGTGGTTACGTTATAATTATGTAGATTGGTCTTGTTTTATTGTTTTAACTTGAAATTCATTCAACCAGTATTAGACACTATCTGGATTTTTAATATTTTACTCTTTGGTACTTAAAGCCTACAGTCATAAAACTTTACTCAGTACTCTTTAAGTACAAAATTTGTGCTTGAAACACTGAGCAGTGGCGGATCCAGGGGGGGTTACAGCGGTTGGAACCCCCCTTCTTTTCTTGACGATCAATGCATTTGAATGGGGACATATAGTTGGAACCCCCCTTTATCCTGGGTTGGGAAGCCCCCTTTTAAAAATGGCTAGATCCACCCCTGCTGAGTACAATGATCCAACTCCAAATTCTTATTACCACAAGGCCTAGTCATAAAAACCAATAAAACTGACTTGTAGAAATAAACAAACAAAGTTTTATTGAACCACCATTTAAAACAAAAAAGTTTTAACACATGACATGGCATGTTAATAATAGCAGATTTGTTGAGTATCCCATTTCCATGATGATCATGACACTTTAAGGAAATTTACAGTGAATTAAATTCTTTTTTTTGGGGGGGGGAATCTTTTCCTCCCAAAACAAAACCCAGAAACTCAATTTCCATACCATGATACTGACTTTAACTAAAGTTATGATTTGAAACAACAAGGGGTAATTTTCAGCCGTGTTCAGCACCAGTAAAAACAGAATTATTACTTTAAAGAATTCCTAGATTTTGAAATACTAGAAAAGTAGTGGTGAACTAAGGTCTTTTCATTCCTCATATAAAAGTGTAAAGTACAATTTTAACATTTAAGTGTATGAAGTTATAAAAATTTAAAGTTATTTTGTCAGACATGAATTTTATATGTATCATTTTGAAATAAATTGAGAGATATAAGGGTTGCTGGGCAAATTTTTTTTTTTAATGCATTGCATAAGAAAAGGGTAGAAGGGATAGTCTGTGATTAAATAATTTTACATTGTCTGTGTGTTTCTATAATGTATGCAGCTGAAGCTTTGTACACATTTAGCAAAGGAATGTGGTTAAACCAGTGCAGGGCCTGTGTTAACTTGCGTTAAGGTGTAAACTTTTGCTCTACAATATTTCATCTTCTCTGTAACATGTATCTTTGAAAATATTCCCCCTAAAGGACCTTAGAAAGGGGGGAGTCTTAATCAAATAAGTTCTGGTATTTTTGAACAATGGACAAAAATATTGGATTAATTATTACGATATCAGGAATTAGTACATACAAATAATGCTATTAAAATTTAAAATGCGAGTTTTTATTTTTTGCGAAACCAATTCCATTGCAATTTCAGCAATTATAAAAACGTTGCTAAAATTTCATATTTCACAGTGTTTTGATTGGCACATGGTCTCTTGAAAAATATTGATTAAGTTTAAATTTAAAACTTACATATGTCTCATTAAAAGTGTATGCGTATATATATATATACACCATTTTATTGTTTTTATCAAAGAGTATATATTTTGTTACAAGTCATCGTTGTTGTTTTTGATGTTGTCTGTTTTCTGTTTAATTATGTTGCTTTTGTGATATATCTAAGATATGTAAATCAAGATTTTGTAAAATTTATGATACATGGTTTTTTATATCTCAATGGCATAAAAATAAACTTATTCATCACTTTACGGCTATTGACAAAGAACAGATATTTAATCAGGATTTCAGTTATTCTTGCTTGTTGCTAGTTTCCATAATTTTTTTTCTGTATGATAATTTTCCATTACAAAAATAGATATGGGTTTTTTTCTCAGTCGATTCTCATCATTCTGATTTACCATATATGGAATATTTTTTTCTCATTGTATAAGAATAAATGCTCAGGTTTATACAAGCTGATCAATGCAACACATTATGTTTGTTTGTATCATTACATACATTGAAGGATATTTGACTAGATTGTCAAATGACCAATCATGGCTTTGTCAATTTAATTAAGCTTCATCCATAATGCCTTAAAGTTTTCATTTGTTGCCTGGATGTTCAATTATATAAGATACTTTGTGTCTAAGATGAAAATGTCATGCAGGGTTAAAAAAAAAATTAGTATATATGTCTACATATATTTGCATTTAATCCACTGATTGAAAACAAATAGAACTCATTACCATAGATAGATCTATGTTCTATAAACTTTTAAAAATCATATTATTTCTGCACTTATACTTAAAAGTACCAGTATTAATAAATGGAGTCCAAGAGTTAAAAATATTATTTTTAGACAAGTGTGAAATTTTATATCCTGAAAGACTACGTAGTTTGTTCAATATTTATGTTAGTGTTGCGGTAAATGGGCATCATTTGAAATGTAAAAACTATACCTTATATCTTCTTTTATTCATGTTTATTTGAACAATCTTTGCATTGCTTTTTTTGGAATTAAATGATCAGTTTGTTACACTAGGTGTATGTTTCAAAGCTACTTAATACTCCTTTTTCTTTTATGACACAGTTTTCTAGATTAATATAATTAGGAAATGATGTAAATTGTTTTTATTTGCATAAATTTAGTAATATATTCATTGCTTAAAGATGTCATTGAGTGAGATAGATTAACATCACTGTGAAGCACGTTTTTTTTCAGCAACTCATCTCATCCTCATACAGATTAATAACTTCCTTTAATGAAAGTTTCAGCTGAAATCTTCTTGGGGTTTATTTCAACAAGATATATCTTGTTAGTATATAATGTTTTCAGGTGTAAAAACAAGATCATGGAAGATCTTTACCCAAAGCTTCCTACAAATATTTATCCATCTTTCCCAGAAGGAAGCTGTTTCAGCGAAAAGAATGATTTCATTTTTTTTTTCCATTAAGTTCAAATAACAAATTCATTATTTATTGTTATAACAAAAATCTGACCAAGATTCACCTTTTCTTCCCATTTAATATGAAGTTGGAATGAAAGTTGATATTTTGTTGTTAATTTTTTCCAGCATTTTGTGATGTGTTCAGAGTTGTTTGAAATTTGACCAAAAATTCACCTCTTTTATTCATCCAATTATACGTTTGGAATGAAATATATTTTTATTCTCATATTTTGTGGAGTTTATAGTAAATATGATAATATGACATTTTTGCTATGGTTCTAAATTACTCAGTGATAGGATATTCTCTTCAAAACATGGCTTCTAAAATGGTCATAGTGTCCGGAATATCCTGGGAAACTATATTCTCGACCGGATTTGCCAAGCCTGCTGCTCTTTTCATAAAAAAACTTAAGAGTAAAAAATACTTGTAAGTCATACACATTTCAGTTTAACTTACTATTGATTTTAATCAAAAATTTTTTTTTGAAAAGAGTCACTGAACCTGTATCAAACGAAGGTTTGCTATTTTAACAGAATTCAGAAAAAGGATAAATATTTACATGACTAAAATGATTGGTGCAATACAACTTATTTTCTTCTCTTTTTGTTAGAACAGGATTTTTTTTTTGGAATTGGATGGTCAGTTTGTTACACTAGGTGTATGTTTCAATGCTACTTAATACTCCTTTTTCTTTTATGACACAGTTTTCTAGTTTAATATAATTAGGAAATGATGTAAATTGTTTTTATTTGCATAAATTTAGTAATATATTCATTGCTTAAAGATGTCATTGAGTGAGATAGCGTAACATCACTGTGAAGCACGTTTTTTTTCAGCAACTCATCTCATCCTCATACAGATTAATAACTTCCTTTAATGAAAGTTTCAGCTGAAATCTTCTTGGGGTTTATTTCAACAAGATATATCTTGTTAGTATATAATGTTTTCAGGTGTAAAAACAAGATCATGGAAGATCTTTACCCAAAGCTTCCTACAAATATTTATCCATCTTTCCCAGAAGGAAGCTGTTTCAGCGAAAAGAATGATTTCATTTTTTTTTTCCATTAAGTTCAAATAACAAATTCATTGTTTATTGTTATAACAAAAATCTGACCAAGATTCACCTTTTCTTCCCATTTAATATGAAGTTGGAATGAAAGTTGATATTTTGTTGTTAATTTTTTCCAGTATTTTGTGATGTGTTCAGAGTTGTTTGAAATTTGACCAAAATTCACCTCTTTTATTCATCCAATTATACGTTTGGAATGAAATATATTTTTATTCTCATATTTTGTGGAGTTTATAGTAAATATGATAATATGACATTTTTGCTATGGTTCTAAATTACTCAGTGATAGGATATTCTCTTCAAAACATGGCTTCTAAAATGGTCATAGTGTCCGGAATATCCTGGGAAACTATATTCTCAACCGGATTTGCCAAGCCTGCTGCTCTTTTCATAAAAAATCTTAAGAGTAAAAAATACTTGTAAGTCATACACATTTCAGTTTAACTTACGATTGATTTTAATCAAAAATTTTTTTTTGAAAAGAGTCACTGAACCTGTATCAAACGAAGGTTTGCCATTTTAACATAATTCAGAAAAAGGATAAATATTTACATGACTAAAATGATTGGTGCAATACAACTTATTTTCTTCTCTTTTTGTTAGAACAGGATTTTTTTTTTGGAATTGGATGGTCAGTTTGTTACACTAGGTGTATGTTTCAATGCTACTTAATACTCCTTTTTCTTTTATGACACAGTTTTCTAGTTTAATATAATTAGGAAATGATGTAAATTGTTTTTATTTGCATAAATTTAGTAATATATTCATTGCTTAAAGATGTCATTGAGTGAGATAGCGTAACATCACTGCGAAGCAGGTTTTTTTCAGCAACTCATCTCATCCTCATACAGATTAATAACTTCCTTTAATGAAAGTTTCAGCTGAAATCTTCTTGGGGTTTATTTCAACAAGATATATCTTGTTAGTATATAATGTTTTCAGGTGTAAAAACAAGATCATGGAAGATCTTTACCCAAAGCTTTCTACAAATATTTATCCATCTTTCCCAGAAGGAAGCTGTTTCAGCGAAAAGAATGATTTCATTTTTTTTTTTCCATTAAGTTCAAATAACAAATTCATTGTTTATTGTTATAACAAAAATCTGACCAAGATTCACCTTTTCTTCCCATTTAATATGAAGTTGGAATGAAAGTTGATATTTTGTTGTTAATTTTTTCCAGTATTTTGTGATGTGTTCAGAGTTGTTTGAAATTTGACCAAAATTCACCTCTTTTATTCATCCAATTATACGTTTGGAATGAAATATATTTTTATTCTCATATTTTGTGGAGTTTATAGTAAATATGATAATATGACATTTTTGCTATGGTTCTAAATTACTCAGTGATAGGATATTCTCTTCAAAACATGGCTTCTAAAATGGTCATAGTGTCCGGAATATCCTGGGAAACTATATTCTCAACCGGATTTGCCAAGCCTGCTGCTCTTTTCATAAAAAATCTTAAGAGTAAAAAATACTTGTAAGTCATACACATTTCAGTTTAACTTACGATTGATTTTAATCAAAAATTTTTTTTTGAAAAGAGTCACTGAACCTGTATCAAACGAAGGTTTGCCATTTTAACATAATTCAGAAAAAGGATAAATATTTACATGACTAAAATGATTGGTGCAATACAACTTATTTTCTTCTCTTTTTGTTAGAACAGGATTTTTTTTTTTAGGAAAAAGCTACTTTAAAGATATAATGATATTGAGCTGCACAAGTCCATGTCCGTTTTCTTCAGTGCAGTATTTTGTTACAATGTTTGTGATTGACTGAAGTATACTGTCAATAATACACAAACAAGATCACAGGAATCACAAAAAATATCGGAAAGTTGATTGTTTTATGTTGAAAACTGAAAAAAAAAAATCTGATCATATTTCTACAGTATATATTCTAGTTTGAAACACAATATTGTAAAAATTATAGGGGAAATCAGGTGATATAATTTATGCATGTTCTTTTCATTTTACAAGTTATGACCTATTTTTTTTTACAATTAAAAAAAATCTGTAAGATAAGGCATTAAAAAGAAATAACATTGGAAATACATGTATACTTGACAAAGTTGTATAAAGGTTTTGCTACATTTTACTGTTTGCTAATAGATCTTTAAAGGAAAACTTTAATCGTCATGAAATATATCATATCGGGGTACACATACTCCTAAAACTTGAATTGGATGAAAAACTTTCAGAATTTTGGGTCCTCAGTGCTCTTTTTCTTTGTACTTTATTTGGCCTTTTAATTTTCTTATTCGAGCGACACTGATGAGTCTTTTGTTGAAGAAAGTGTGCCTGGCGTACAGAATTATAAGCCTGATATTTTTGATAAGTTTTTTTTACTAGAAATGGTATTGATAGGTTTCTGCAAGATTTAGATGCAAATAATATTTCCTCTCTTAAAAGATTGTTACAAGCATCAGATGACTCACAATATAAATGATGCAGTATATAGTCTAAAACTTTTGAAGAAATATATTTTTCAAAGTAAAGTATGGAGTCTAATACTTTTTCAAGATATATGTGAATTTGTTGTTAATTGCCTTTGAAATAAATTGCGTTAATTTTATATTTTTAATCTGTAGTTTGTATGGTATACTTACAGTATTATTCTTGTTAGACCCAGCTAGGGTGTTATGGTGTTTAGACAGATGATGTGTATATCTTATGCTAGGCAGGGTACTGACAATTGCTTTCATTTCTGTGCTTGTTCTATTTTTTTTAGTCAGGTGGATAATTGGTGTAATATTGTTTTATTTATTGTGATATTCCTTTTAAATTATGTCTTGATTTTTAAAAAAGAAATCATGAAATGTATTGAATGATTACGTGTAACTGTGATTTAATATAAATGTCATATTTACTGGTAGTTAATTTTATGAATTTTGCCATTTATATAAAAATAAGGAGATGTGGTATGATTGCCAATCTGATTGAAATACAGATCCAGTGTTCAAGCTTTGCCAACAAGGAGGGAGGATAGGAGGGGTCCTGATCCCGAAATCCCGGGCTTAAAAATATGGAATCCCGAGGTCCCGAATTTAAAAAAACTTTAATCCCGACATCCCGAAATTCGAAAAAAAAATCCCCGGATCCCGAAAGGATCTATCCCGAAATCCTGAGCTTAAAAACACCCGATCCCGGAGTCCCGATAAAGGTCCTACCCCCATCAATAAGAATCTGACAACACTCTTTTACTTTCTGTTCTGGTGATGTAACATCAGCCAATGAAATTTCAGCCTTCAAATTTTTGAAGGTGTGTATTAATCCAATTTAACCAAAGGATCCCGAAAGAGGCCTTAAAACAGAAAGTAGAATGGAGCGTTTTCAGATCCTTGTAAGCAAAGATTGGACACTGGATTTAAATCAGATTGTATGATTTTCAATGAGACAACTATTAACCAGAGTTCAATTGATGTGGATGTAAGCAGTTAAAGGTCAACCTACAGCCTTCAACAATGAGAAAAACCAATACAGTATAGTACATTTGTTGACAACCTTTTCACATGGTCCCTGTTTTATTAATTTTGTTAATTTTGCCAGGCTATTAGTAACATCGAATGACAAGTTTTTAACATAGACAATGATCTATGACCAAAGACTTTGTGACTAATAATATTGTTGAAAAAGACTGATGCTCTTGACCTATCTATTACATGACACCTTGAATGTTTTCCTCTTTGACTAATTAGTAAGAAAGTTGATGAAACTAGTTAAGATATTTTGATGACAAAGTTATAGGTATAACTTTCTGCATTGTTGACCTTCAAAAAACAAGTATTTGTATTTATGACAAGTCCCATGTTTTGTAATTCCTAATGTTTGCTCCTATTCTTGTCTTGCCAGTTTGAAGTCTCATTGTTAGACACTAGGATTACAATCTTGCAGAGATGCAGCATAAACTATTTATATTAAGCTTTATATTTCAAGGGTTAGAACACGGATCCTACATACCTTGTATATCAATGCCTTATTTTTATTCTACTTAAAACACAGATGATGCCCCCGCTTGCATATCATATAGTTATAAAGGGACATAACTGAAAAATAGTAAAAGTGACGCTACCCAAAGGAGTAGGTCCGGTAAGGGCTGATTTTGGCCCCAGATTTCAGGTTCATCTGATGAAAGATTTTGGACACTTTTTAAACACTTAAGTGTCTACTTTTGTAGATTCAATTAATTTATGTGAAAGATTTGAACTGATTTAGTGATTAAAGACACTCAAATTCAAGCTTATATATTAAAAATCTATCAAATATGCCATAATACGTGAGTTTTCAGATGGTTTTTGTCAAAAATGAAAGTGGCCGCATCCGTGTTTATCCTCCACCTTTATATATGTTATGTATTATCATCATATACAACTTACATTTAAATATTAAGGATGAACACAAATGCGGCCACATCCATTTTAGACGGAAACCGTCTAAAAATTAACTCAAATGCTAAAATTGCAAAGATTTCAGTAATTTAGCATGACTTAATAATGCTAGTACCCAATACATGTGCATTGTATTGTCAAAAAAAGCTCATATTTATGTAACAGAAGTATTCTACTTTCCAATAAATAGCTAAAAGTACATTTTACCAATTTTGTAAAACTGCTATATTTTGGGGCCAAAAAGGGGTCTTACTGAACCTACTCCTTTGAACTTGATCTGAGTTTTGTGGTAATAAGCATTGTGTGTAAGTCTCGTGGCTAACTTAAGTAGATAACAGAAACTAAAAATTCAGCAATTTTTAGGCAGTTAAGCTGCCTTATGCGAGCACCCTAGATTTGTGTTCTACCCAATAAATGCTGAAATACGTGCCATTGTTATAATCTAGCTGGCTATTATGTTATTTATAACTAATTGGACATTTTTTTAATACTTTTATTTCTGCAATACAAAAAATATGACCAGAAAAACCTTAAATGATCGTCGAACTACCCAAAATTTTTGAAGTTGCACATAGGAAGTAGTGCTCAATGGAAATCCGTACTTAGTTTATTATCACCTGTGCTTTTGTCTACGATGTCAAAGAACAATTGTATGAAATATTTCATCGCCGAAAATCGGTAATTACAAGTCGTTTATATTTCCCAAATGGCAAAATGCGCAGGAATATTGTTCATGTACAATCAAATCTCTATGATAGAGGAAATAAAGTTATATAAGTGGGCGGTAATGTTTAACTTATCTTGCCAAATACGGTTGTTGTTATTTTATGAATGAAACGAGGTCATGAAGCAGATGCGGAAATCGACGTTGATGAAATGTTTTAAGTAATGTGGACAACTCGTCCCCGAGACACGTCGGACCGATTCCACTCAAAACGTCTAAGAAGACAACTTTGACCGTTTGTCAGATTTACATAGGGTTTCATAAAATATTAGACTAACATGTCTAGCGGAGCCATTAATCTTTTGTTTGTGCATTGGCGTCTATTTATGGGTATTTGGAGGGGCCTGAAGAAGGGAGGGGTTTACTATAGAACCTTATGGGATTTTATTTTTTTAAATTTTCAAATGACTATTTCTCGAAAACAGTAAGTGATAGACACATGCAGTCTTCAGTAATGAGAACAGGACAATAAAAAAAATTAACCAAAATATAGGGCTAGTCCCTGGGGGTCATCCCAACCCCCTTCAATTTGAAAATGTACTTGTAAACCTTCGCGATCCCCACACCTAAACAATATATATACTTGTATGGGACAATAAAAGAAATCAGATGAAAATAATTTGGGGGAGTTCCCGGTTTTGTCCCACCCCCTCCTGTTTGAGAACTTGGAAATGGTCGAGATCCCCACCCCTAAACCATATATATTCATGTATGTGACAATAAAACAAATCAAATGAAATATAGGGGGAGTCCCTGGGGTCACCCCACCCCCTCCTGTTTGAGAACTTGTAAACGGTCGAGATCCCCACCCCTAAACCATATATATTCATGTATGGGACAATATAACAAATCAAATGAAATATAGGGGGAGTCCCTGGGGTCACCCCAACCCTTCCTGTTTGAGAACTTGGAAATGGTTGAGATCCCCACCCCTAAACCATATATATTCATGTATGGGACAATATAACAAATCAAATGAAATATATGGGGAGTCCCTGGGTCACCCCACCCCCTCCTGTTTGAGAAATTGGAAATGGTCGAGATCCCCACCCCTAAACCATATGTATTCATGTTTGGGACAATATAACAAATCAAATGAAATATAGGTGGAGTCCCTGGGGTCACCTAACCCCTTCCTGTTTGAGAACTTGTAAACGGTCGATATACCCACACCTAAATCCTGTTCATCATTTCAAAAAGATTTGAATGACATACAGGGTCAATCTCCTAGGTGTCACATATGCATATCACTTTACTAGACCAAACCAATATGAACTGGACTTTGTCAGGAGACCATGGGAATGACGAATTATGGGGGCTTTGTTTTGGAGACTTCGTAACAGCATCCTGTTACAATTATTTCTTGTTTTTTATAAAATTTTATTGATGCAAAAAATGAGTCTAGGTTAATTGAATTTACTTTAATTATTTATTAAATTATTTCTGGGTCTATGATAATTTCCATTTATGGCTCATTCTAAAGAAAACATATAAATCTTTCAAGCAGTGTAAAGCCTGAGAATGTTTGACCAACCGTTTTATAACCACCTGTCATTTTATTCCAAACTTGGTATGGAGTAACATAATGTACTTGGGGGTGAAGATGGGGGTAATTTACATTGATAAATGAGTTGCTTTTGAAAACCTTGATGAAATATTAATTAATTTGCCTTAATAATCAATTCATTCAATGAACATAAATGTACAATATACGAATGTTTAATGTTTATTCTTTCAAATCTTAAAAAAAAATTGAAGCAACACTGCCACAGTTTTCATAATTACGTTTGCCTTGGTTTTTGGTTAACTGCCTACAGCGCTTACAGTGCTTTGATTCTATTTGTAAATAAAGGCAACAGTAGTATACCGCTGTTCGAAACTCATAAATCGATAGAGATAAAAACAAATCCGGGTTACAAACTAAAACTGAGGGAAACTCATCAAATATAAGAGGAGAACAATGACACAACAAAAACACAACATTAAAATGTAACACACACCGAAACGAACTATAATATAACAATGGCCATTTTCCTGACTTGGTACAGGACATTTTAAGAAAAAAATGGTGGGTTGAACCTGGTTTTGTGGCATGCCAAACCTCCCGCTTTTATGGCAACGTCAAACACAACACCAAAACGACAACATCACATGACAGGACCACAATACAAATAAATGGGAGAACATATAGGACAAAGAAACACACGAATAATAGCTAGCAAATAATTTTGTCCTGCATTTTTTTTAAGTTGTAATCTCTGTCCTGCTTTTTTATTTTTCACTCTATTCCGTCCTGCCTTTTTTTTGTTAGTTTATCCTGACTTTTTTTTTGCACAGTGTCTCATCCTGCCTTTTTTTTACTCAAAACTCCTGTAAACAAGCATAACTCTAGAAAGGTTGTGTATAAGTTTTATAACATTTGGTTGAGACAAACAAAAGTGAGGGAGCTACCATTTGATTTTTATGGGGGGCTAGGATGAAAAATTTTGTCCTGCATTTTTTTTTAAGTTGTAATCTCTGTCCTGCTTTTTTATTTTTCACTCTATTCGGTCCTGCCTTTTTTTTTTTATTAGTTTATCCTGACCTTTTTTTGCAAAGTGTCTCATCCTGCCTTTTTTTTTACTCAAAACTCCTGTCCTGCCTTTTTTTTCAAATTTCATCCTAACCCCCTCCCCCCCATAAAAATCAAATGGTAGCTCCCTTACAGAACGGAAACGAAAAATTCAGCAATTTTTATGTTTACAAAGGGACATAACT